CTTGAAAGTCGTTAAATGAGGAAGTTGGCCGAATGATTGTATGTATCGATGTTTTCATTTCGGTAGCTGCAACCTTAGTGTTCTTAGGTTTCCTCTTTGATTTGTTTTATTTGTTTTTTTTCCATCTTCGTCAATTTCTCTGCATTAGTTTGCAAAAAAAAAAACAAGAACAACATGTTAGCATCTGCATCCCAGTTCTGTACTACTTCTGTCCCATTTGCTTGTCATAAAAACATGTCTGTGTTTGTATGTCCGTGTATTTGTACGTATATACTGTATATATAACATAAAAATAGAAATGGTGCCGTCGGGACAGGCTTTGACGGCTGCCTCTCTGTGTGCCGTAGGTGACGTTCACGGACGCCATGAGGAATAAAGCGAGGCTGTCGATAACAGGAAGCACTGGAGAGAACGGCCGTGTGAAAACGCCAGACTTCCCGGATGCGGTGCATGCTGTACCTTACGTGAGACCTGGTATGGGAATGAATGTCAGTATGACCGATCTCTCCTGATCGAAACGGACCTATCGAGTGCCTTACACAGTGGTTTTAATCGTGCGTTGTCTGGCCATACCGCTAGAGGGAACGTTCACTACTACAGTCGTAAGGACATCATTCCCTTCCTTTAAGTCTCTCTTTACACCTTTATACCAACGGGGGAGGGGTGGGGGTGAGGGTGAGGGTGCACAGCTGATGACATCGTCCCGCCTTTTCTGTCTACTCCAATCGACATGCACAGCTGATGACATCGTCCCGCCTTTTCTGTCTACTCCAATCGACATGCACAGCTGTTGTTGGAAGCACCATGAGTCTCAGCTGAAAAAAAATCATTGTCGAGGCAGTGCGTCCATTTTTTTGCGTGGCCATCGTCGTTTAATCCAGGACCCATACTGACTTAAGCACACTTGACTTCATTTGCATCGAGATGTGTTTTTTTTCTTTTTTCTAAGAAAATTCAAATAAAAATACCCAAAAATATTTTTATGTATTTTCACAAACAGAACGGCTTTTAAATAAACTTGCTTCCATATTAGTTGACTATATGATCTGTGAGGATGTAAAAAAGGCTTTAGGTTTTACCAAATTCATATTGGTATTATTCCAAATATGTTCATGCTAATTGAGGTATAATGTTTAAATCGTGTAATTTATTCCTGTTATAATCTTCCTGTGTATCTTATTCTTTAACATATGGTGTTGATATAAGAGGTACTCAATGCTTGACATTTGAAATAAGTTCTTTTCTCATGGTTTTATTTGTAAAAGTGTAAGTTCTTTATATTGTGATGCTGTTATAACCTTTTCTTTTATTTCGTTAGTTTTTAGGAAGTGTGAGGTGTGTTGTCCTTATATTTCAATTTTCTGGGCAAAGATCAGGGTAACAGCTTCACAAACTGTAATCTAACAGCAATTTGTGTGTAAATGCAGGGGAACACAAATGGGCACGATCTCTTTTTGAATAAGGCAAACGGATTAAAATAACAGCTCAAAGCTTGTTCCAAGATGCCAGATAAGGCATATAAATTTACATCCAGAGGTTTAGGTCGAAAGATATCTGTCACCACCATCCAAGTGAACATAGTTTAAATATTCCCTATTTTTAGTATATGTAGACATCATATACGACTACATTGAAGCATATATATATATATATATATATATATATATATATATACACACACACACACACACAGCCTCATTCTCTGATTTGACATTATATATATGATGGATATGGTTCTTGGTACCACAAACAGGAAGTGTTTTAAATATACTATCACTTTGAGGACAAACTCTCCCGGCTTGTTTTTGTATCTGTTTGACCAGTAATGGCGCTATTATGTTGCTGTTATCGGAAGTTTAAATGAATGGATAGAGATGGACACAGACGGCTATTTCAACCTGGAATGGAAAAATAAAACGCTTAGATATTTCTAAATTTGTGAAACGTACTTCTTTAATTATGTCTTGAGTTTTAAAAACAGTCAAGGTCACTTAACGCTTTTAAAAGGCTGTTTAGGACTTACATAATCATTTTGTATCTACAGTAAATAAACCACATGACTGAATTGCAGATATACGAAGGGCGGCATAAACGTACTAATTTTAGCGTTTACTGTCTCGTTATAAATTACAAACAGGTGTTTGACTGAAATTCAGAGCAATTCCTGAAATATTGTAAATGAAATCTGTGATACGTGTGGTTTATTTTTGGGGACTCTTTCTGAATAAAATGCAATGAAAATATCACTATTATGTTCTTTCTTTTTATCATCCCTATTTTGTACTTATTTTGCATACCACCTTTTTCATTTCCTGGCTATTGATAAACACCCAAAACACACTGTAACCTTTCTCACATTTTAACAGTTTGCAGTGTATTAAAATCAACCGGATGAGTACATACTTTGATCTGCACATACATACATGCTGATTGAGGCGATTTTGGTGTTTTTCATTGACTACATGAATACCAAACGTTCTCCAGATGCAAAAATGGATTTTATACCATTTGCGCCTCCAGTTGTTCAATTAAGATAAAACTAAAATCTATAATCAGTTAAGATAAGATAGAAGCTATAATTATACTGGAATCAATGTTAAGAGGTGAACCCAGGATATTATCGATATAGCCACGTTATTTATATGAACAGATTGACTATAATATGTCTTTAAGTGTAAGATATGATGTTTAGTGTATCTGTATGAGATTGTGGCTGTGAGTGTTTTCTTCAGCAAACCTTTAACTCGTATGTAATTACAACGGAAACAGCTGAAAGCCACAAAATAATCATCTGTAACAAAAACGCCAAAATGCAAAAAGTTTAAACTAATTTTAGAGTAATTCTCCCGCATTTTCACTTGTTCTGCTCCCATCCAATCAGATGCTGCTGTCACTAATTAAAGGACCACAGCTACAAATAGCTACATTTTCATCTGAATGTAGATTGACACTGTAGCAATGCCACCCTCTGCCTTCCATTGGCTGATTAATGGAACTGTTTGTTCTGCCTTTGCCAAGCTTCTCTTTCTGTGTAGAATAAGATGTTTCCTGGTCTGTATCTTACTCACCTCCGGGGTGAGAACCTTGTCTACCGAGAGATAATCACGTCACTTTAAGACAACGGAAGCCCTCATCCGCACTACATGCACAGTTTTGTGGCTAAATGATCCGGCGATACATTCCGTTGCTCTGTGATTCTGCATCTTTTCTATGTATTTCTAATAAAATATTATGTGAGTCCAAATATTGCAATAGAAGCTCTTCTGAGTTTTCTTTTCCTGATTGTTGATCTTCTGCTACTAGATACAGATGATATGTTTACTACGAAGGGCAGGATACAAATAATTGGATGATGAAACAAATATTCTACCAGAAGAAATGCTTTCATACAAATGGGAGCTGGCAGCTTTTGGGCATTAACGCTCGGAGACCCTGTGTTTCCTGGGCAGTCTCCGTGTGAACAAATTGTTATCAGTTGGCCTGAAGTCTTGGAAATATCTGGAAAAACATTTTCTTTCAGACTTAGGGTGCTTCAAATTCCTGTTAATTGTTTAACACTCCACATGCTACTGAACAGCCAAGAGGTAGAGAAACGCCATTAATCCCCCAAGCAAATGTCACTGAGAACATTTCTGCAAAGTGTTTCCTTTTACTTTCTCAGCTGTTGGGTTAAAATGGTGCCTCTCTTCTTTCTGCATGAAAGCAAGATTACAATAATTATTGTGCATTCATGAGAATGGAATTCATGAAAGGATTCCTCTCTTCAGGCTGAGAAAAATAATGTTTGCTCCTTATAGTTCGATGCCAACGCCCTACACTAATGCCGATTGTTTATTTCTGTCCTAGTGACCGATGATGCTGTCAGTGGTGACATTTCATTCTGTGCCGTTTTGCTAATCATTCTTCGGCTAGAGGAGAATTTCAGTTCACATCATGTCTGCTTTATCCTGTCTGTACTGCAATGTCAAACACATAGATTGTACAAGTTCAGCTGTTCAAAAAATCATCTCCATGTCGTTCCCTTGACCTGAGGTGATGCTGATGACATGATTAAATATTCTCCGTAGGCTGTCTGCTTACATTCATAGCAGTTACTTGCTTGACACTTGAGATTGTCCAGTGAACCGTCTCAGATCTCTGCAGTGATCCATCTTGCTGCCTCTCACACTGTAACTAGCCTCTTTTTGTCATCAAAAAACTGATGCACAACCGACCATCTCCTTTGAGGTATAAGGCTTCAGCTCTAATGAAAACTGTAAATAAAATAAATTCCTTGTTGTTTGGTGATGAGTATTTGGAAGATGGATGGATGGATGGATAGATGGATGGATGGATGGAAGATGGATGGATGGATGGATGGACAGGGTAGTCGTGGTGAGCAGCCGACATTCAAATTATTATTTTGTTAAGATTCTTACAGTTCTGAGGTTTTGTGATTCACTGTATGCTCATAATTCATATTTCTTAAAATGATTTACTTGTGTGTTGACATTGATGAGGCTGGATATTTGTACACTTTAAAACTTCCACTGAATGCGATTTTAAAGCTTTTGACCATGATGCGTCATCACTGCTCGCATGGACACATATCCACAGGTTGCTTATAACCAAGCCAAAAACAGCAACCAGCCATATGATGTGACTAATTAATGTCCTCCTGAACAAGGCAAGTACTTAATTATTTGAATTATTAGGGGGTTTAGCATTAGTGTCCTCTATCATACACCCACTCTGGGATCATTCAATTTAAACCCATGGACCTTCTGCTTTAGAATTAATGCTGCATGTATTTTCGCAGTGACCCAGTAGGTGGCGCTATAACATGACACCTCCAGGGTCGGGGGTTCGAATCCCACCTTTGTGTGTGTGGAGTTCTCCCTGTGTCACACTGGCCTCGTCCTGCCGCTCCGCTTTCCTCTCTCGGGTCAGGAACATGCAGTCAGGCTATTTGGCTGGACTGGTGCCGCCCGCCCCACCCCCACCAACACCCCTCCGCGTGG